AAACAGTAAAGTCATTATGACACAACAGGTTACTAGGTGTGAAAGAATTAGAAAATAGAAACATTATTAAGGAGCAAGAACAATTGAAGAGTAATCAAGAAGGCAGTAGATAACAAGTAACATGGCATTTAAATTTTTAAAGATCAAAGTTGGCTAGAAAGCATGGATCCATAAGTCTGTGAAAAGAAACTGTTAGCATAGAACTTATGGTCACTTCTAGCCAATTTAACTGTAAATTGGTGAAACCTTGTGCTTAAAAGTCTATAAAGTCTAGTTACGATAGCAAAGAACTCATCTGAACAATTACCATGAAAGTATTTATAAAAAAAAGCAACTTTATGGCAGTGGGAAAGTAATTGAAGTAGAGATGCCAGGTCAGGACCAATAATATTACTGATTCTTCTTTAGATTTTATCAAGCATCTCTAAATATATAGCAGAAGCAGTGATGAATGGTAGACTTATAAATATGTAAAGTAGATTCTGGAGAGAAAACTTGTCTAGTACAGTAAAGTGAACCAACTTTCTTAGCAGCAGACTTAGTAATGGATTCAATATAGTCTTTCCATTTCATGTCATCCAAGAATGTTAACCCAGGAAGGCACAACAAGTCATTTTCCTGGAGATTAGCATTAGCCATGCTAATGCTAAAGGAGAGGGTGTCTCTCAGATGATTGATAGAGTTTTGTTTTGGAGGCTTTAAAAATTAACAAGCTATTCTTTGCTCCAATGTAGGTCAATTTTGAGATCAGCTGCCAATTTGATATTATCGGATTGATCAAACTTACTGACAAGACAGGAGTATTTCTTTTATTCTTTCTTTTATAACTTATTTCTTTCTTTCCTATTTTTCTTTCCTTTTTGATTCATTATTTTCTTTATTTCACTTTAGATTTTTTTCTCTTTTTTTATGATATTTTTTTCTTCCTTTCTTTGTGTTAGAGTGTGGGGTCTGTCTGTACATTTTTTTATTGCATTTTTCCAATTTTCAAATAAGTTTTTGCACATTTAGGATAAACAATTCAAAATTTCTGTTTTGTTTTGTTTGAGTACTTTCAACCATTTCAGTCATTATCAGGAAGTAAATGTTGTCAGTTTTGTAGGCAAGGGTTGTGGGCTACATCCTGGCATTTTTTGGAATGTTACAAATTCAAATATAGTTTAAAATGACATCACATGTAAAATGGTTTCACAGAGGTTGACAGCACCGGAAATGAGTGTATAAATATATTATGCAAAGTTTAAATTACTGCTGGAAGATATTTTATTGAACGGCATTTGTTCCTTTTGTATAATTAGTAAACAAAAGAAACAGCGTAGATATGTAACAACTTATTCTAAAATTGGAAAATACAATAAAAAACAGACTTTGTTGGCTGGATTTAAAATGTGTGTGTTAATTATTTTCAGATAGAGTGTATCTGTAAAGAAACAAAATGAATGAAAAGACAAGGAAAATCTATTCTATTCTTAGTTGATGCATTTCATCATCTGAGGTTCTTTATCAAGGGAAATGTAAGGGTTTATTTTGTTGCATGTGTTTATATACAAGAGCAATGATGTCATTGGTTTATCAAGGTTTTTAAATTTGAGAACATTCATGAATATTCATCACGTGGTTGACAGGTCAATCAAAACATGTAGAGGACACAGAGTGTCATAATTTACTGCTAAGACAAAAATAAGTGAGTAATATTCCAGAAATATTGTTATCTTTTTCAACCATGTATCTCTTTTCCCATCTATCTATGTCAGCCTGTTAATATCTATCTATCTATCTATCTATCTATGTCAGTCTGTTAATGTCTATCTATCTATGTCAGCCTGTTAATATCTATCTATCTATCTATCTGACTATCTATCTATTATTCTCAAAATTCTAAATGTGTTTCAGTCTTAAATAAGGAATGAAACGCTGTAAAAATAAATCAATCAATCAAACTAGGTCACTTACTGTTTCTCTCTTACTTTCTTGCCTTCAGTATGTCCTGTGAGTGTCAAATTCTCCAAACCCTCTTTCCTCATTATCTGTTCCGAAGATATCAACTGATTCTTTGATTATATATGTAAGTGTCCTTTTTGTTTCCATTTTCCTTAGAATATCCTAATTGCTTGCATGCCCCATCTATGGTATTCTTAGCATCCTTCTATAGAACAACACATTTTTATTGTCTCACATCTTCTATTCTTCTTTAAAGAAATTGTCTAGTATTAGACATTATAGGAGGATTGATAATACAAAGCAAATTCATGACTCTTTTGTTTCTAATTGAATTTTTCTCTTAATATTTTGTTTAGCTTTTGGAAGGCACTTTTTGCTATTCCAATGTACCTTCAAATTTCAGTGTCCCATTAGCATTTCTTAATCCTCTAAGAATGCCAATGCACTTGAAAATTTCATATACTGACTGTCCAGAAGCACCTGAATGTGCTGACAGTCCAATCCAATAGCAATTTCCATGCATAAAAATTAACTCTGACGTAGAAGTGCTGGAAGTTTACAACGCTTTTGGAAATCAAGAAACTTTCGGAAATTTGCAATTTTCTAAAAGTAGTAGATTTCCAAAACCATATCTCATAACCAAGGAGGCTAAATTTGGCATCATTTGAAATAAAAATTGATTTATATTCATATAAATTTGTCTTATATCACTTGATTTTCAACGTTTTTTTGAGAGATATCAATATAATTACGCTAATAACACATGTTCAGATATTTCAGGATTTAACAATTTAATTCTCTTAAGGGATTATAGGGCTAATAAACCTGTCTCACAAATTATTGTTAATGAGTCTTGATCTTCAATAAGTGCTCTTAATGTTCTGACCCTTGTGCCAAACTTAGTTGTAAAGCTAAACAATTCTTTCTTTACTTAAGAAAATAAACTAAGCAGAATATTAAGATATCACATCATACCTTCTTCTGCAATGTACCAAAAAGAAAAGAATCATTTTCACAATCTTATAGTTTTCCGTCATAGTGCCTCCAAGCGACACAAGCTCATTCAACTTATCATCTTCTGAATGACCATCCTCAGTGGAAATCAATAATGGTGGCTTTCGAAAATTAGAGATTAACAAAAGAAAAACTAAAATGAAAAAAAATGAAAAAAATATGGAAGAAATCAGAAGATATTCAGTTTAGCTTTCTTTCCTTCCTTTCCTTCAGGGCTGCAATGCCAGCAGACAGCATTCTCGGCCATCTTTAGCCACCCATAACACTGAAACATGAAGGCAATCTCAAGATCCGGGTGATTTAACGATGATCAAAAGAGACAGATACTTCAATGACCACCAACACAAACTATATTTCGCAAGAAGGCATTGTTCCCTGATGGTTACACTGGACAGGAGGCAGGGTTTTGTTTGAGACTGATGAAGGCTCAGGGTTTAAGGTGTTGGCAGGGCATCTAGTTAATATCTTAATTGATCATCCTTTCCAATGGCATTGTGTGAGGGAAGATATAAAAATCAAGAAGGATGCAAAGGTTGTAAATAAGAGGTTAATTAGGTGATACCCATAGGCACAGGTGATCTTCAGACAAAATGAAATAAAAGAGACAAGAAAGTTCTTATTTTCTGCAAGCCAACTTGCGAAAATGAATGGCTTGCTTGATAGACTACATATAAAATGACATTGGAATGAAGAAGATTAAAAATGATATGTTTTCTTTTATTATATAGCTTACACAGTAAGTCAAGAAAAGATTAAGGCCTCACTTGATCAAAGATCAAAAAGCAGTGAAATGCTCACCAATTGGTTTTTGCTTATCCCAAGGTGACCCAAGGCTCAACAGGGCTTTAAAAATTTTGCTAAAAAAGAAAAACTCTTATTTATATATATATATATATTATATATATATATATATATATATATATATATATATATATATGTATATAACAGAAGATATTTCACGATATTTTTTACTCAGTCATCTGTGGATTTTTCATTCATTATACTTATATCCTAAAGGAACACTTTAACTAACATCCTGCACATAAAGTCGGTCAGATCTAGGGGGTTGTTGCATTACAAAGGGGTGGACTGATTGAGTGATTGAAGGGTGTATTTGAATATAAGTGTGATTATCACTGATCCAAAATTTCTCTTTTAGAATACTTTTATATACATGAGGAATATCAACAGTATAAAGCCCAAATAAAATTAACATAAAGAGTAGAGGAAATAACTTTCTAAAGATTACACATTTTACATATGAGAATTGGCAGAAAGGTTCTTACTTCCCAAATGGTGACCATGATATTAATTAACATGAAACATTCAGCAATCATTGACCAAACAGATTAACTTTTTTTTTTCTCAAGTTCCCTTTTATGCACTTCCTAGTATTAAGGGAAGTTTCCTTCCTAAACTTATTTTCAACCCCTTCCCTAGCATAGACTTGTATATACATTTTTACTAAATGTATCTTTTTCAGACACAGATGAATAAACACGTCAAAAACATAATGTTCAAAAGCAAGCTACAGATGTGTTTATATGTCAATCTTGATTCTTTGTATGCCCTTCTGAGTTTGAAACAAGTTTAATTGTGAACTCATATGTCTGGTAGATGTGTTTGCTACTGCTCAGGTACTTCAAGGTGCCTCAGTTTCTAACCGAAAAAAATAATTTAATTTGTTTTTTTTTTTTTTGGTTAGTAACTAAGAAACTGAGAAAACTCAAACAAATTATTTTTATTTTTTTTTTTTTGGTCTGAAAATGAAACGTTTTTCCCAAGATAATTGGCAGGGAAATGGTTAAAATTGGAAATTCAACATTCTGAGGGCTTACATTGAAACACTAGTTCCTGTATGATCATTAATCCTTAAGCAATATCAACCTTGGTCAGTATCTAAATGAGTGTAAGCTTGGATGAGCTGAGTTCCAATTAGTTATAACAAATTTAGTATAGATAAGGAAATTGAAGACAGTCTAACTTTCACTGGGAGTAAATTTCTCCAACTATGTACAATCTTACAAAACCAAAATATTAATGCTTACAACCATATCACATTGAAACCCTGTTTCTCATATGATCACCAAAGTTAAGCAATGTTGAGCATGGTCAGTACCTAGATGGGTGACAGCTTGGGAATACCAGGTGTTGTAAGCTTGGATATGTGGGTTATATAATGGATAATGGTTTCGAAGTGGAACTCAAAGAGCTGAGCTCTAATTCCTGTTGGTTTGTTATAGTTACTTGCATGCAAATACCCTTGGGAAAGGTATAAATCCACCTCTTCCATGGGTTTATTGGTAAGACTTGTGTCACTAAAAGCATTTTCTAAAAATAGTTCCTGGCTTTAAATAACCTGCAAAAATTCATGTTATGAACCTTCTTCACCTCAAATGAGGTAACACAGAGTTCTACTAATGGGTAGCCACCAGTGGTTGACTGTGCTATTTTTGTTTTTTTTAATCAATTCACTCTGAGTAAGGCAATAATGCCACTAAGATGCAAGGAGCTACTGGAAGTGAAAGAAAAAGAAAAGACTTTAGAAGCAACAAGAAACCTTATGATATTATAAATTTGTGAGATGGAGACTTTAGAAGTATAGAGTTGAAGTAGAATTTAGAAGGAATTGGAAATTCAGTCCAAAACAGGAAAGAAAGGGATGAAACACTACTCCTGTTCAAAAGACCAGGGAGGAGTGTGAACCTATCTACTAATATGTGTGCCACAAGACCTTGTAACTACAACTTTTTATAAAGAATGCATGGACATAGTAGTAGTAAGTAAATAAAATTATGTTGCTTTTTTTTTCTTTTTTTTTTTAATTGGCATCATCCTAAGCAAGTCAGTAAAGCCACTAAAACACAAGGGGGTTACAGGGTGTGGAAGAATTAGGAACAGAAACATCAATGAGCAGGGAGAGAAAAGAGTAATTAGGAGGACAGGAGATAGTGATTGACATTGCATTTAAATTTTTGCAGATTAAAGTTGGCTGAAAAGCATGGACCTGGAAGGGAGTTCCACAAGCGAGAAATGTGAGAAAAGAAACTGTTAGCATAGAAGTTACAGCTACATCTAGCTAGCTCAACTGTAAATTGATGAGATCTTGATGCCAGTCGAGTACTGCACTTAAATTCATATAGTCTAGGCACCATAGTAAAGAGCTCATCTGAACAATTACCATGAAAGTATTCATAAAAAAAAGCACAGAGAGGCAACCTTAAGGTGGTCAGTAAGTGACTGAAGCCAAGGCGCTAGATCAGGACCAATAATATTGCTGATCTTATTAAGGAGCTCAAGGTAAACAACAGGAGCAGCAGACCATATGTGGGAGCAATAATATAATTTGGTAGATTTATACATAAGATTGATTCCAGAGAGAAAAATTATCTTGCACAACACAGTGAAACAACCTTCTTAGCAGCTGACCTAGCAATGGATTCAATATTTGTAATAACTTGGAAGTTATTACGGCAACATTTTAGTTTTCGGCAGACAGCTAGTATAACCCAGTAATTGTACTATAAAATTTCACAATTCAAATCGTTCAAATAATGTACAAATTATTGTAGTGAAAATGATGAGTCATCAGATCCTGAAGGGAAAATATCAAATTAATGAAAGTTTTGTTAACCATTAACATTCTGGAGTGGATTTTGTTTGCAAAGCAAAACTTTTATCCTGCCACTGCAAGTGATTTAGATGAATAAATGATAGTGTGTTTGAATTTTGCAGTAGTGTTGTCATATCCTGCTATGGCAACAGAAAATGACCATGACTGAAGTTAAGTATTGCAGTAGAGGAGCTTTGGAAAACAATGCAGTGGAAAAGGAAAGTAGTGAATAATGCAGAAAAATCAATTCTAAGCAAGGTTTAATACTTGGCATAAATGTAAAATAACTGGCTGCTAAATTTTATTTGTTTAATTCATTTCATTTTTACAGTTGGTGGGTGGAGGAAGGTTGGTGGCATCTCCCCTGTCATCAAATCAACTTATAGGAGATAGTAAAATATTATTCCTCCCTGACTATTACCTTTCCTTTATATAAAATTTTTTAATGTTATATTTATTTGGGATGTAGACAGTTATGACTTTCCACAGATTCCTTTTCTTTATTATCTGTGAATTGCTATGATTTCTTTGTAATGATTGTGAATTGGTTTCCTATTAAAATTTTCATCGTCTTGAATTCAGAGTAGTTCTACTCCTAGACCGATTGCCACCCAAAGTTACAGAATCCACTCTACACTCTTATTTAACTTATAAAATGAGGAAAGGTGAAAATGATTCATGCCTTTCCCAAGAGCATTAATGCAGAAGTAAAGGTAACAGTCTTGAATGGAATTTTCATAACCTGTCATTAAACATGATGTAATTGTTGATTTATTAAGAATTAAAATAAACATTGATTTTATTGTCCTATTCTATGTTATAATTTTTTCATCAAAAACTTTGTGCTTCTTTCTCGATAGCAAAAACAAGAAAAATCTTATGTCAACAACATAACCCTAATTATCTGCAGATTTTTTTTATGCCATGTATGGGATTATGGCTCCACATTTTCTTTTCCCTTATTATCTGTCTCTTGCCATGAATTCTTGAGAAAGATACTGTTTGTCACTTGCCATTCCCTTTGCAACATTTTTTTAATTCATAGTAATCTTTCTCCTAGATTACCTACCACTCAAAGCTAGGGTTCCTAATCTACCCTACTATTGAACCTATCACAGATTAAAATATTTGCATATTACTACTGTGAAAAATCATAAAATACAGCACCATAGAGATTTTAATATTCTTTTCCTGTAATGATTGCCAGATTTTTCTGCTTTATTTTCTTCATGTCCCTTCAGGATGTGACCCTCCACAGTTTCCTTTCTTTTATTATTTGCAACTTACCATAACATTTTGTGAAAGATATTGTAATCTTCCTGTTGTTGTTTTCTCCATGGTTTTGAATTCAGAGTAGACCTTTTCCTAAATTGGCTGCCATTCAAGGCTATGAAGCCTAGTGTACCCTACCATTTAACCTATAGCAAGTTATTTAACCCAGGTAATTTTGCTGACTACTGCTGTGAAAAAATATAAAACATCGCTTTAAATTTGAAAGGATTTTCATATTCTTTTCCTGGAATGATCACCAAATTTTTCTATATTTTTTGGTCTTAAATGCCATATCCATTTTGGATGTAGACAATCAAGGCCCTCTACAGTTTCTTACTGTTTTCTCCATGGTTTTCTCCTAGACTAGCTGCCAATCAAAGCTAATGAGGCCAGTCTACCTTACTATTTAACCTCTATCAGATTATTTAATTCATTTACAGATGACCACTGAAAGATAATAAAATATGGCCCAAAAGAAATTTTCACATTTTTCCCTCAAATGACCCCAGCATATCAAATAATTCCTTGTTTCCATCAACAGAAGATTCAAAAGGAAAATTCAAATCCATACTCAGTTAAGAGAAGATCAATTGATAGGATATTTTACCATATTCTTCTAACTCAACCAGTTCAGCATCTTAAGATTTCTTTAATCAGATCATTGGAACAATTCCTTTGTGATAAAACCTTGAAAAATTGAGAAAGATGAATTTCTCATTATCAGAATTCTTTTCATCTAGAATTCCAGACTCTTTAACAAGGAATAAAAGAATTATTTTCATAACGGGCTTTTGTCTTTGCAAATAATGATGATTATGTTCTTTACAAATAAATTCAACTTTTGTTTTGCACATGAAAAGGTTTCTGTTCCTTCCAAAAAAATTCAGCATTACTTTCCAAATCATGTGAATGATTGATTTTAAAAAATTATAAAAACCTGCGCAAAAATTGAAGAAATTTTCAAATTCTTTATTCAGTATGATAACAAGAGTCTTCTGTTAAAAATCAGGAACTTTTTTGCTTTTGTTTTGTTTTTGGGTTGGTATCTAAATCCATATAGTGTAAGATCACTGAGAATTACATGTCTGCTACACTTTAACATGATTTTATTTCATTTAAAAAGTAAAACATTAAAACTTCCAAATTACTATCTAAACAATATTAATTAATATTTCACAAAAGAATGAAAAATATCTCCATATATTTAAGCTTCATATTTGGTATATGCCCACTAAATCCCAAGAAGAATTATTCTGTTTATAACAAAAAACATATCACATCATATCACAAGCCCCATAACCGTATATTTAAGTTAAAATACTTGGCATACACAAATTAAATCACCAGAAGAATGATTCTATTTGTAACAAAAGCAATATCACATCATGGCACAAGCCCTGTAACTATATATTTAAGTATAATAGTGTACACCCACTAAATCACTAGAAAAAATATTCCATTTGTGATAAAAGCCATGTCACATCACGTCACAAGCTCCATAACCATTTATTTAAGTTTAATACTCGGCATATGCCCACCAAATCACCAGAAAAAATATTCTGTTTGTAGCAAAAGCCATATCATGTCACAAGCTCCATAATTCATTTAGACTCATAGGAGTACCACATGTCCTGGGTGCTATTATATATTTATATCCGTAAACACTGATGCAACCACAAATCATGTTGAAATCAAAAACTAAAGCAATGTATGGACCAATAAATTGTGATATGATGGATGTTTACTTTGCAGAGCTGATGTGGAATTAAGGATTCAAATACTTCAGAATTTTATATTTTGGGCTTCAAATCACCACGGATTTATATATATATATATATATATATATATATATATATATATATATATATATATTGTTCTTTTTTATTGTTTCAACCCAAGTAAGGTGATGCCACTTAGACACAAGGTGTTACTGTGATTGAAAGAAAATGAGAAGACTTTAGGGAAGAGAAAGGATAAAAAAAGAAGTGTTCAGGAATATTGAAGATGGTGATTGACATTGCATTTAAAGTTTTGAAGATTGTATGTGGCATGGAAGCAAGAAGAGCATCTGAGAGGTGAGAAGTGCAAGAAAAGAAACTATTGGAATAGAACTTGTAGATTCATCTTGATATTTCAACAGTAAAACAATGAAACCAAGTAGCTAATCTAGCAGCCCACTTAAATTCATACAGATAAAATACCAAGAAGGAGAGTTCATTAGAACAACTGCCATGAAAATATTTATAGAAAAGACAGAAGGAAGCCATGTTATG